CTGTTGGGTCCCTGGCAGGCTGGGAACGCTTTGGGCCCCAGAGCCCCTGTACCTCCCTTAGGGACTGGTTGGGATTTGTGCGGGGGGACCGCCTGGGAACACCCGTTGAGTGAGGGTGTGGTAGGGGCCAGTGGGGAGGGTTGCTCACACCTGGCCTTGTGAAGGTCTGGCCGGGAAGAGAAGCCAGGGACACAGTGCCACTCACACTTGAGAGCTGGGCCCCAGAATGGGCATTGGACTTGGTCTCTGTGGCACTGGGTGTGGGACTGGGGTCTGTGGGTAGGGAGACTAGGGCTGAACGTGAAACACACCTTTCCACTGGAGCTGCTGCTGCCATAGTGCGCAGGCCCCCTGATGCAGTGTCTCCTCCCTGCACATGTCCAGGTTTTGACTGAAGAGGAGTCAGCTGTTGATGCCTGAGTTGATCATCTCCAGGGGCCCCTCTGGGTCCCCCCAGATCCCAGACCAAGGCTGTGGGAACAGCGGGATGCCAGGTGCAGGGCTGGAGCAGGCTGCCTGGGGCTTGTTCCCCAGGAATGTGAGAAAGGCTGGTGGGGCCACCCCACTCCGGGCCACAAGAGTTTACTTTCTATGGGACAGTTTTGCTAAGCTTTGAGATGATACATTCATTAATATTTTATCTGCAGTGTGACCTTAAGCAGCTTGTCTAACTGCTTTAGGCCTCTTGTGGGACGAAGCCCCAGAGGAGGGCTTGCTTTCGCTTGCTGTGAGGATTTGTGTTTCTCCTGAAAATTAGCTTGTTCTTAGTTTGAGGGTGTGGTGGAGGAGGGCTCGGGGACCTTCCCTCCCCGCATGGCGCAATTCTGTGATATACCAAGTCCAGTCCTACCCTCTCGCTAGAAATGCATGGCCTGGGAAGATTTCTGACGAGATGAGAAAGGAATACACAAAGCATAGTAATGAAAGTTACATATTAAACAAAAATCACACACTTTGTGGAAAATGATGGAGTTGTATCTTGTGGCTGGTGAATGAAACCATAGCCCTAAAGGGTTGAATGGATCACCTATGCCGGGCAGTGTGCTGGGTGCTGGAGAGGGGCGCAGACCCTCAGCACAGCTGTGCCCTGGGAACAGATAGACAGCCCTGGGTGGGGCAGCGAGATGGAGCCACCAGTGATGGTGACCAGAGGCCAGGCCTGCATTTTGACGGGACTTTGAGAATGAACACTCAATAGACCTCATCCTTGGTGATGGAAGAAGCTTGTACCATCCTATGTGCAGGATTGAGAGCTGGGGTCTTCAGAGCCTGTCGGGTGCCCTGGAGAGGTGTGGAGGCTGTGTGGTTCCCAAGGCTCCTGCCATCTGTCCCTACTTCTTGCCTTTGCTCGAGCTGTGCCCTGTTTTCTGCTGCAGACTCTGCTCCCGTCTCTTTGTTGGGTTGCCCATGGGACTTCTGCTCCAAGGTGCAGAGCTGACCCCAGCCCGGAGGCCAAGGGCAGCCCCTTAGTCTTTCTACATGGCCTCCTTCCCAGACCATGTGGGTGGGTGTCCTCTTTGCAAGTTGGTGCTCTTTCCATGAAAGGCACAAGAAAAAAGTTAGAGCAGGTCCCAGTGGAGGCGAGGTGCCTGCCAGTCCGCCCCGGGCTGCCCCAGCTCTGCTGTTCTTGCTGTGTTTGCGGATCCTGGGACTCAGCTCTCTGGGTGCAGCTGAGAGAGGAGCCCAGGCTGGGCCCTGCTGCTGAGAGGTGTGTGTGGACCCGTCTTCTTTGTGAGGTGTGGTTTCGGGGTTTTGCAGTGCAGGAAGGCTCCCCTCAGAGCACCCCCTTAGCATTTACTGGGTTAGTCCAAGCCCAGGGCCACCTGCCGACTCTGTCAGGTAGGGAAAGAGTGGCATCCAGCCAGAGGCTGGGACACGGAGGATGCATCACCTTCCAGGACGGGGCGGTGAGGCCCCAGCACATCTAGTCCCTACGTCACTTGCTGAGACGGTGCTCAGGAGTCTCCAGCCAGGGTCCCTGGTGACAGTGGCCTCCTTGGCAGGCAGAGGACAAGGAGTAAGGGGTGAGGGGCACAGCAGCCTTGCCTTCCAGACGTCCATAGTGGCTGCTGCTGGGCCTGAGGAGCGTGGGGCAGACAGAGCCATGGGAGGCATTTACAGCTCCCTCAGGCCAGGCCTCTCCCTGTCCCTCGCCCTTCCTCTGCCGCCCCGCGCAGGCCACTCCTGCATTGCTTCTCCTGGAGAACGGAGGTTGCTGTGTTCCTGTGTAGGCTGGGGCCGGGAAGAGCTGTCTTTCTGTTGCCCAGCTCTAGGGGGAGTGGGACCCCTGCCGTGCCATTATCAGGAGCAGTGTGGGGGTGAGGGGCCTGCACAGGACCCTTTGGACATGGTGGCCCCCATGCAGGGGCATATCCGACTGCCCACATGAGCCCTGGATTTATAGGTTCTCCTTTCAAGGTCTCGTGTAGCCTGGTAATTACCTTCATTTTTATGTGTTCTGGAAGAAATCCAGACAGGAGAAGTTAACCTAAGAATGGCTTTCAGGAGCTTGGCTTTGTGTGTCCCCAGCATGGGGAGTATTCTCCAGGTTTCCTGTCCAATTTTCCGTGACCTTTTGTTAATGGCCGGGAAGAGGAGGCCGGCGCTTGGCCTCTGTCCCCAGTGTGGCGCACGCAGCTCTGCTGAGCGCACATTGCATTCTTCCTTTCTGGGCCCTTTGTGACCAGGCTTGTGATACTCGGACAGTGTCCTGGGCCAGCTGTCAGCTTCACGCCACTGTTCCAGTATTGACATTTCCCGATATTAACCTCCCAGCCCCTGGGCGAACCTCTTGGAACTTAATTGTTGAGCACACAGAAGTGTGTGTGGGAAAGAAGAGCAGGCCCCCGGGCTGGGTTCACTGACAGCTCTGGGGCTCTGGGCGAGGGACCCTGCGTGGGTGGCGCTGCTCTAAGAAAACCTGCAGACGCAGAACACTTCTCCACTGGTCTCCTTCACTGTTTGTTTTCTAAAACGTTAATTTTAAAAGTTTCGTCCTGAGAGCGAATGTATATTGTTGACATTTCACAGAGATTAAAGAAGGAAACCCTCCCCTTTGAATATATCCAACCCAACATGAATGGCCACCACCGAAGCAGGTGTTCGTGTCTCTTTTCTATCCCTTTCTACGAGTGTTTGTAAAACGTAATACAAATCAAATAGTACGTAAACGTTTCTCTCTGCCTCTGTCACCTTGCCCTGTCGTAATGCTTTCCGTATTAGTCTGGAGGCTTTGTAGCTCTTGTTTCAAATCATCGCACAATATTCTGGCCTGTGGCTGGATGATAGTCTACTTAAATGTGGTGGGGGTGATCTTTCAGTGTAATTATGACTGAGAGATGATATACTTGCGCTGAAAGCTTCTCCTGTATTTAGAAATAGTCCCGTAAGAGAGGTGTTCAGGAGAGGGGCTGCCAGTGCACACGTCCCCCCGTGTTGGGGGAACTGGGCGCAGTCAGCCAAGTGACCCTGCGGGCCCGCCTAGTGGCTTTGCTCTGCAGCCGGCAATACGTGAGGGGCATTTTCTTTCCCCTTCCCATCGCTGGGCATTCTCCTTCACCTCATTTTTCCTGATGTGGTTAAGCAGTAGACAGAAACACCCTGATTCCATTTTTATTTCTATGGGTGCTATTTAATTTCAGAAGTTTCCCATGTTCTTAGCAGCTGGCTATGCCATGTTTTTTAGGTAACCTTTCACTTCATCCGTGGTGTCTTGGTGGGACATTTTAAGCTGGAGAGCATCGGTTCAGACCTTTCACTTCATCTGTGGTGTCTTGGTGGGACATTTTAAGCTGGGGAGCATCGGTTCAGAGTGCTCACTGGTGCAGCCAGCACTTGCTTGGGACCGCACGTGAGGCGTCTCCAGGCACCGCGTGGACCCTGATTCTAGGAGCTTGCCTTCTGCACAGAATACAGGGTGGTCATGGGAGGCAGCTACTAAGAGCAGCCAGAGACATGTGGGTCCCAGAGTTGGGTTGCAGGCCGTGGAGGGGCTTGGCAAGGACCTCGTGAGGGCAGAACCTGGGGGCGGGTGGAGGAGGGTGAAGTACCCAGTGGTGGAGGTGGAAGTGGCAGGGGCAGCCTGGGAGGAACCTGTGGTGTGTCTGCCATGCTGTGGGCAGGTAGACTGGCTTCCACTCTGACCCTGGGTGGCAGCTCCTGGTCACAGTGTCACTGGATGAGGAGACTGACATACCAGCGTTGGGGAGGGAAGAGAGAGGGTGACAGCCTTGAGGACCTTCGCAGCTGCCTAGGGACAGCAGTGCTCTCTGCTAAGGAGACCTGCCTGGGCCGGTGGCTCTGAGGCCTCCCCAGGGGGCTCCATGGGTTCTGCCCCTGTGACCCTGTGGGAGGCTGGGTCAGTGCAGGGACCGCTCTTCCCTCAGGGCTGTGGTTAGTAGCAAACGAGCTGAGGGGTGGGAGCAGGGAGGAGCTCCCGCCTCTGCTTCAACAGAACATTCCAGTAATCTTGTTGTTTCTAAATACATAAACCTCCACTTTCCAGACTAGAGCAAATTTCCCTATAATTGTATTTCTCAGAGAAGCTACCTCATTATAGATAAATTAACTACAATTTAATTTTTAAATCTTTGTAAGACCTTTTTTTTTTTTTTTTTTTTTTATTTATTTAATATTCCGGAATGCACACATTTGGAAGATACCGTCTTTCCAAGCTTAAAGGATGGTCTGGTTCTGGAATTAATGGTCTTCAGCCGTGCACCTTTGCCCCTCCTGGACTTCGTCAGGGCGGACCCTGGGTGCTGAAGCGTGGCTTAGGGAGCTGGGACATCCATGGATCTCAAAAGGCCCTTCCCGTAGAGGCCCTGGTGATTCTGCTGGAGGGCTGGGCCAGCAGTGCTTTTCAGGTTCCCTCAAGGAGCGGACCTGTGCCCGGCTGTGGGGCTCCGTTGGAGGAGACCCTCTGTGACAGGAGCAGGTGGGGGGGGCAGTGAGCCCCAGCTGCTTGCGGGGTGGTGGGGGCAGCCGGCGCTTCCTGACAGCCCCAGGGCTGCTCCTCTCCGGCTCCCCTCCTACCTCTCTCATTCCTCTGCTCCCGCTACCTTCTGTGATGACTGGGGAACGATCCTTCTCTGGTTTGTCTTCTGGGATTAAGTTTGCTTCCGTGGTGCTCTCCTGGCTACCTGCTCTTCCAGAATCTTGCGCTGAAAGGCGGTCGTTGTGCGTTGGTGAACAGAGGTGGAAGGCATTGCCACAAGCACAGCTCACAGTGTTTGGTGTCTCAGCCCCCTGGGAATCTGCACGCCTGGACAGGAAGCACAGAGCTGGCGGGATGCCTCCTTGGGGTAGGGTTGGCTCTCACTGGGCCTCCCACCCCCAGCAAGGTGTCACAGATTCTCTGTCACTCTGAACATGGGCTCATTTGGAGAGCAGCAGACAGCCCAGAAAGCCAGGTCTGGAGTTAGAATGGGATGTTTTTAGTGTTTTCATGAGCTCTTATTTACAGCAATTTGCATTCATTTTGAATACTTGATTCCATTAGGAAATACTGAATCATTCTGTAGTCCAGAAGTCAGGCCTGTGCCCTCTTGATATGGTGCCTCTGTGGCCTCCTGGTGCCAGCCAGGGAGGCCCCTTGGAGAGGCAGGCACAGTGGGAGAGCCCAGGGATGCCACCCCCAAGGTGAGGAGGTGGGAGGCCAGGAAGGAAGATGGGCTTGGTCCATTTAGAAGGAGGCGGCCTGATGGACGGGCCCCCTGGGATGCACTGTGTACAGAGAGAGGACCCGAGACCCTCCCACCGTGGGGAGGGGTCTCGCTTGAGGTCACGCAGCGTGATGTGCCCAGGACATTGCCTGCCAGTGTTGTACCAGGCTTCTCTGTGGACGGCCCTGTGCTTGCCCGGCCACACCATGGCCCCCTGCTCTGAGGGGCAGTGGCCGGAGGCTCTGCCTGTCTTGAGTAGGATCCTGCTGTCACCATGCATAGCACTGCACAGGCTCTGGGCAGCCAGGACCGCAGGAGGGCGGCCTCCCTCAGTCCCCGGGCATCTTCCTGTCCCTCCAGGTCACTGCCCCCAGTCAGGGACTTCAGGCTCACCATGTGGCGGTGTCCCGTCTGTGTCAGCACATCGTGGCTGCCTGGCAGGTCCTCTGCGGGACGCAGTGTTCTTCTGTTGATGCTCTTGGGGTCTTGGTGGAAACCCCGGATGCCACACAGCTGTGACATGCTAGGCCGCTGGCTGGGCTTCCGTACACCTGCACACTGGCTCCCTCTTCTTTGCCTGTGTGGACACTGTCACGTCTCTGTCATTTGATTTTGGCACCTTCACTGTGTCCAAGTGCTGCCCCAAGCATCGTGCCCACCAGCAGCCCAGGGCCTCATTGCTTCCTGCGCGTCCCCTCCGGCCTAGGGGGTGGAGTCTTCTCCGCCACCTTCCGCTTCCTCCTGTTTCGCTGTCTTCCCTGCCTGCCTGCAGGTGGGTGGGCGTGTCTTTGTTTCTCAGCTCTGCAGTGGAGAAGGTGAGGGGTCAGCAGGGCCCCTCCTGCGAGGCAGAGCCTGGGGGCTTTGCTCTCCTAGTCCCCCTCAGTAGGGCACCTCCTCTCTGGAGGCCACAGCTGCCTGCAGGACCAGCAAGCAGGGCGGCCTGCCCCAGGGCTGCCTCGTCAGGCTCACCGAGAGGCCTCAGGAGCGCTGCTTTCCTGGAGCCCTTGAAGGAGATGGACGGTGCTTCTCTCCCACTTGGGGCAGCAGTTCCCAGGCCTGTGAGGATCAGGAGAGCAGAAGGACCAAGCCACCAGAGACGCCAGTGAGGAGGAAGGCCGCTGTGCACAGGTGGAGATTGAGAGGCTGGTGTGGGGCAAACTCACGACGTATTGTCAAGCTCATCTGGCTAAGGAACCTCGTTCGTCATTTCGTTGAATGGGGTGACAGCATAACATTTGCTGGCGCTGGCTCCCTTCTGCGCTGCAGGCACTGGGCTGGGCTCCTGCGTGCTGCCTTGTGGGCGCACACACGTACCAGCACTTTCCATCTTGCAGGAGCAACAGGAGGGGGCTCTGTGAGCTGCAGCTCCAGTCCTCCTAAGAAATGGAATTGAACCAAGGACATGGGAATGCTCTAGAAGGGCAGCTGTTACCATGGGCTGTCACTTCTCCGCTGTATGGAAGAGGAGACAGGCTGGGAGAGGACCTGACTCATCAGTCACCCGGCTTTGCAGGGACCAGACTTGGTGTGAGAGCCACACTTTCCTTCCTGGGCCGCCAGAGCCTCTGGGCAGCAGCCAGTTCTGCGGGCTCTCAGCAAGGATCCCTGACGCAAGTCCCCAGCACCCCTGGCTGCTAGGAGAGGAGGAAGGACACTCAGGGACCCACAGTGCAGAAAAAGATGGGTGCTTTTCGCTGTTTTGGGAAAAAAGCAAGATGTTGGTGGGAACACATGGCGGATCCTGAAGTCTCACCTGTCCAAGTTAGGAACGAGTGGGCCCGCCGCTGCTCATGCTGGAAGAGCTGATGGAGACGGAGAGGAGCCAGCCCGGGACTTGGTTTCCTTCTTCCTCCTGGCACCGCTCGAGTTGAGGGGTGCTGGTTTCATCTGGCGGTTCCTCCCCATTGTCTGTGTCCACTCCTGGCCCACCTCCCACTCCCACTTCCTGCCTGTGTGACTTACACTCCATAGAGCTGCCTCCAGCATCTGCTTGGGAGGCCTCCCCGCGGCCTCGCCATGTCCATCTGTTAGCACAGCTGAGAGCCATCCCAGCGGCAGCTCATTGCCGTTCTGGCCGTGTGGCTCTACTTCCTTCTCAGGCCCATCGAATCCTGGGCATCCCTTTCTCCCTCGCTGATACGATAAGCCAAGAAAGGCGCTTTGCGGCTGATTGAAGTCGAGTAGCAGGCCCGGTGGTGGGCACCTGGGCAGCTGCCAGTGAGTGCTGTTCCTGGGGAGGCCGGGCTGATGACTGTGTACACGCAGTTGTGGGGCAAGGGTGAGGGGCTCATCCAATTCCCTCAAACCTCCCTCCTTCCCATTGTTAGCTTGTCAGCAGGGAAGCTTTGTGGTGTGCGCGGCACAGGCCATGGGGTGCGTGTGCAGGCCTGGCATTCTTACCCTAAAGCACGAGCTGGGGCTCACAGCCCAGGCCCAGCATGGCCCCGGGTTGGAGTCCTGACCACCCCTCAGCAGCTGGGTGGCCGTGGGCGGGGGGCCTGGCCTCTGAGCCTCTTTCTTGCCTCTGAAATGGAGGAGGTGAGGACGTGAGGGCGTCTCGAGGGCACTGGCAAGAGCTGGGTGTAACACCACGTGAGTGCTTGCTCCCTCCTGGGGTGTTGGGGTCTGCCCCAAAGCCGGCCTTTGTGCCCTGCTTGGGGCTGTACCCCCTCTGCCTTTCTCTTCCTGTTGCCATTGTCGTGATCCGTGTGTGAGATCTAGGAGGAGGACAACGCAGTCCTGTGAGTGTTTTGCCGCCAAGCCCAGAGCTGATGCTGGGCGTGGAGTGGGTGGGTGGTTAATGCCCTGGCACGTCTCTGGCAAACCGATGCTGCAGTGGTCATCTGGACAGAGGGAGGGAGGGATGGATGAATAGATGGGCGGGGGGTGGGCGGGGTAAGAAGCCAGCCCCAGTGGTGACTGTGTCAGTATGCATCCAAATCGTAGATCTCACTGAGAATTTTGATTAGGCCCCTATCAGGTATGTACATTCGTGACATTCAGCAAAGATCTGTAAGGCAAGAACTTGGAGCCCGATCCTATGCTGTTAGCTGGTGTCGTGGGGGAGGCGCAGCCCCTGGCCTCAGGGCATCTCAGCACTAGGTAGGTGTGGGGAGGCAGAGAGAGGCAGCCAGGCAAAGGAGCCACCGTGGAGAGGGAGGGAGAGGGCAGGCATGCCCAGGAGGCTGGGGAAGAGCTCTTCTGGCTCTTGGGGCCGGGGGAAAAGGCCATTGAAAAGCCCCTGCCTGTTGCTGGGAGCTGGGACGAGTAGGACATAGTGTGATGTGACCCTATACACATTTGGTGGCCTCAGCCGTAGTTGGGTCTGAGCTCTTGGGCAGTGGGCATCCACCATTGAGGGTCCTTGGCATCCAGCTCCGTGGGAAGGAAGGTGGTGTCCGGGGAGCAGGACTCCCCATATCCCTTCCTTCAATTGACACTGAAGAAGGACTACTCATCATCACACAAGAGCTGAGGAGTGTCCAGGTCCCGCGCTGGCCTGTCATCCTGAGAACTGCCACATCCAGTAGGTGCTGTGACGGCCACCGTACAGATGAGAACATCGAGGCTTAGCCAGGGCAGGTGCTCTTGTCCAAAGCCACCAGCTGGCAAGTAGCAGAGCACTGGGGGACAGGCCATGCCATGTGGGCGTCTCCACTGGCTGGCACCTGGGCTTTCTGCCAGGGTCCTGCTGGGCATCCTGAACATGCTGCTGTGGGCGCGCACTCTTCTGAGGCCTGGGGCCCTTTCTTGATGCCGTAAGAGAGCAGCGAGAAGTAGCAGGTGAAGGCAGCAGGGGCTTGCACCGGCCGCGTCCCCCGCCTCTCTCGCCAGCGCCCACTCTCACTTTGCTTTTCAGAAGCCACAGCTTTACGCCTTCTTTCTGCTGGAGTCGTTTGAGCCGCATGTGAAGGTTTTAAAGTTTTCTCCTGAGCACTGAATTGTGAGTGTGTATGTGTGTTTCTACCCCTGATGTGAGCAAGTCCGTGTCTGTCACCCAAAGATACTTGTTTAATTGAGGGATTTGGCAACATAAATTATTTTAAGGGATGCAGAATGACAAACCTCCTGAAAGGCCGTTTTTTAAGCTCCCACCTCTAAGTGTGTGAGACTCAAAGGTCCTTTTTCTGTCATGAGCTAACTGGAATGAAATGCAGGTGCCATTTCTGCCCGAGCTCCTGCAGCCTCCCTGCACTTTCAGGTCTCAGCCAGCACGTACTTCTGGCATTTAGACTTTATGGTAACAGGAGGGATCTTATGATTATTACTAAAGATGGTTTTGGAAGAGGACCAGCTGTGACTATAAAAGTGCACAGTTAGAGTGTGCAAATGAGTGCCGTGTTGTTTGTGTTTCACAGAATATGAGCTCCAGGCTGAGCTGTCTGCTCCGGGCCGCGGGAGGCTGCGGGAGCGTCGAGCAGCCGCCTGGTCTGCAGGGAACGCACGTGAAATGGCCACCCTCCTGTCTGACGCGGACTCTGGGACTCAGGATCCTGGAGAAAAGGCCTCATTTGGACAGGACTGTGGCAGTTTATGTCCTGGCTGTTGCTGCATGTTTTATGCCCTTGTCAGCTCCGTTTCTCATGGAAACTGGGGCGCCAGGAGCCAGTGCCCCACGCACGTGCAGCGGGCGGATCGGGCCTCCCTCCAGCCTCTGCGGCCCCTGTCAAGGGTTTCTGACTTTCTTTCTTTTTGGGGAAAGTTGGCAATGGCTCAGCAAAGAATCGCCAAATCTCACAGGAAGCTGGTGTCAGAAAGGGCACACAATTTCGTGGAGCCGGCCCAGCCACAGGTGCCTTCGGAGGCTCTCCTGGCATCCCGCATGTCTCAGGCTGCTCTGCTCCCATCATCAGAGTCGCAGAGGGCAGGTGGTCACTTGTGTTTCATTGTCTTTGCCCAGTTAAGGTATACTTGCAAGCCCCGCTGTGACACTCGGGATCACTCAAGGTAACCACGGGAACTGCTCGCATGTGGAGAGGTTGAGCCATGCTGTCTTCCTTATGCCCCCACCACGGTCCTCTGTGAAGGTGCCCAGATGCTTTCCTTGGGGCAGAATATAGGGCCTGGCGTGCTCTCTCAGAGATGCCAAGTGTCCTGGGCTTCCTCCTCCTCCCCTCACCTTTTCCTCTGCCTTGGTCGTGGTCCCTGCCTCGTTCCATGGTTCTGGGAGCCCCTCGAGAGGGGGTATCCTGTCCTGCTCGTCCTTAGTCACCAGCACCTGGCGGAGCCCCGGCTACACCAGCGGCCCTCACAGAGGCTTGGAGCACAGATCCCAGGGCGGCTGGAGCTCCTCAGCACAGCCGTCCCGCAGAGCTGCACACGCTTGCCGTGTTTTGTCTCTTCTGTAGTCTCAGACAAGCTGGGCTCCAGCGTATGCCGTTTCACCCGACTTCTTCCACTCTTCGTCGTCATCTTGAGGTCCAGCCAGGATTTCGCATTGTCGGTGATTTGTGTCTTTGTGTAGCGGAGTGGTTTGTCATCGTAAAGGATTCTTTCCTTAAAATCGTTCATCTGTTTCCTCCCTGCTTGAGGTTAGAAAGTGTGACAAGTCCAGGTGTGGTGGCGCACGCCTGTAATCCCAGCACTTTGGGAGGCTGAGGTGGGCGGATCACTTGAGGTCAGGAGTTCGAGACCAGCCTGCCCAACTCGGCAAAACCCTGTCTCTACTAAAAATGTAAAAATTAGCTGGGTGTGGTGGGGCATGCCTGTAATCCCAGTTACTCCAGAGGCTGAGGGAGGAGGATTGCTTGAACCCAAGAGGAAGAGGTTGCAGTGAGCCAAGATCGCACCATTGCACTCCAGCCTTGGTGACAGAGTGAGACTCCATCTCAAAAACAAAACAAAACAAAAAAAAAAACAAAAAAGTGTGACAAGGTCAGTTCCTCACCCCCTTTGTTGCCATCAGTCAGAATATGCAGTGTTTTTCCAGGGTTCTGACCCTGTGGACCCTAGACCAGCAGCCTCAGCATCCCCTGGAAACTTGCTAGAAATGCACATTCTCAGGTCCTCCCCAGGCCTCCTGAATCAGAAGCTCCGTGTGTCCCTAGTCTGTGTGCTCCTGGGGATTCAGACACCTGCTCGTGCCTGAAATCCATTCTCTGTGGGGTGAGGGAGGATGAGGGCTGGGCCGGCTGGCTTTCCAGTCGGGTCGGAAGCCGCATGTGGCTGCCTGAATGAAGCATTTGATGTTGCTTCCTCTGTCCTGGGCTAACATCCGTATGTTTCTTTCTGTTTTATTCCAAAATGCAGTGCATGTTGGGTCCTCTAGCGTTTAAGTGCCGTAGTGACTTCTATTGCTATCAAGACATAAACTGCAGCCATAGGTGCAGCTTCGTGTGGAGAGAGTAGGAAAGTGAGGACAGTCTCTGGTTGACCTTAGGAGGTGGGTGAGGAGAGAAGCCGGGGGCCCACATGCAGCGCAGACCTCCCGAGTCTTGAGGGAGCCTCTTGACCTGCCCTTAGACCCCTCCTTCTGGGCGCCCTTAGTGACGGCCGCTAGCCCTGACCCCCCATACTAGAGCGCCAGTTGCACACAGCCTTGGCAGCACATCGGAAGCACCTGGGGTGGTTTTACTACCAACACCCATTAGACTGGGGTCTCCGGGGGTGGGATCCAAGCATCTGTGTGGCTCCTGAGCCCCACATGATTCTGGGTGAGAATCACCAGGGTGAGACCCTTCCCTCTGTCTGTCCTTCTGCTCCTGCACCCGGAGCAGCTCCTGCTCTGCCTGTCCTGTTTCTCCACCGTGCCTGCCTTCAGACAGCCTCCTTCCTCTGCAGTCAGCGTGGTGCTGCCTTCTCCGTTTCCCTGTTCCCGCACTTGCTCTGCTGTTTCTCACCTTCAGGCTTTTTCCCAGATGCAGGACCAAGCTAACTTGTTGCATGTGGTGGCTTGCCGGGCTGTGGACCGGGGTCTTAAGAGCCAGTCTTCTTCCTCTACTTGGAATGGCAGCTCTTTGCTACCGCCCACCACTCAGGAATAATTTGGGCAGCCTGCAGGTTTCATCTGGATAAGTTACTGATCTAGTTATCAATTAGTGTGAAACAAGTCACCCCAAACTTCATGACTTAAAATGACCATCGTTTTGTTCACAGATACACAGTGTGTGCAGGGTTCAGTGCAGATGGCTGGACTGGGTGGCCTTCCCAGGGGCTAGAGGACCCCCAGGTTAGAAGATGGCTCACTTAGCTGGCTGGCAAGTTAGTGCTGGCTCAGCAGAGAGCTCAGCCAGGGCAGGGGGCTGAGAGCCTCCACTTCTCTTGATGTGGGCCTCTTTCTCTGTGGCTGCTTGAGCTTTCTCACAGCATGGTGGCTAAATCTGAGAGGAACAAGGTGGAAGTCCGTGGCTTGTTAGTGGTCTAGCCTCGGAGGGCACATAGCATCACTGGGAACAAGGAGGCAGTGCCTGGCTTGTTAGTGGTCTAGCCTCGGAGGGCACATAGCATCACTGGGAACAAGGTGGAAGTCCGTGGCTTGTTAGTGGTCTAGCCTCGGAGGGCACATAGCATCGCTGGGAACAAGGTGGAAGTCCGTGGCTTGTTAGTGGTCTAGCCTCAGAGGGCACATAGCATCACTGGGAACAAGGTGGAAGTCTGTGGCTTGTTAGTGGTCTAGCCTCGGAGGGCACATAGAATCGCTGGGAACAAGGTGGAAGTGCCTGGCTTGTTAGTGGTCTAGCCTCAGAGGGCACATAGCATCACTGGGAACAAGGTGGGAAGTCCGTGGCTTGTTAGTGGTCTAGCCTCGGAGGGCACATAGCATCGCTGGGAACAAGGTGGAAGTGCCTGGCTTGTTAGTGGTCTAGCCTCAGAGGGCACATAGCATCGCTGGGAACAAGGTGGAAGTCCGTGGCTTGTTAGTGGTCTAGCCTGGGAGGGCATGTAGCATCACTACCACTGTGCTGAGCCTCTTCCATCATGGCCCACTCAGAATCATGGAGGGATGTGGACTACCCCCTGGTGGAGCAGTGGTAAGCTTTCGGCTGAGCACACAGGAAGAGAGGGGTTTCCCAGAGCCATGGCACCAGCAGCTCCTGCCTCCTGTGATCATCCCTCTTCACCTCTCTTCCTGTTGGCATCATCTCCTTTTCCTCCTGCTAGAGTGACCTTCTGTCCCCATTCATACCCACTCTAAGACCAGGGAGGGTGTCCTTGGGGCCTGAACATGGTAGGACTCAGTGGATACGTGACCGCTCCTCTGACCACACTCAGGCCACACCCAGGCCTGCCCTTTGCATGGTGGGGTCACACACGGGCTCCCTTCTGGCAGTTTTCTGGAGGCGACAGTGAAGGGTGCTGTGCCTGCAGGATCGGCGCTTTGTGTCTCTTGTCTGGTCGTGGAGGCAAGGTGCCCGACCCACACTCCAGATGCCAGACTCACACTCTGAATGTCTCCGTGGAAGCGCCTGCATCTTTCTACAGCTGGATCCGCAGATGCAGCCCCACCTCTCCGCCACCTCTCAGCCTGCACCCGGAGGCCCCGAGGGCCTGAAGCCTGGGATCGGAGCCAGACCATGCCCTACCTGTGGCCAGAAGCCCGTCCAGAGCCCTTTGAGCCCCTCAGCTTTCTGGAGACAGGGTTTCTCTCCCTCTGCAGCAGTACCCGAGTGTACCAAAGAGCAGGTTTCTTCCCAGAGGTGGTGACACCGAGTGTTCCTTGGGACTGTTTCAGCCTGCATGCTGCTTCGGCAGTGGGGCTCCTCACAGGCCAGCACTCTCTGCAGCCTCCCCTGAGTGCCTGTCTGTGACAGCTGGCCCCGGACCTGGGGCCCGATCTGTGGGAGCTGCTTTGTTCTGACCCCAGACGGAGGAGGCCCCACACGCTTGTTTCCAGTGCTCTGGCCACTGGCACCCCGTACAGGGATGCAGCAGGCGTGTGGCAGGAGGAGCCGCCGGGCTCCAGACTTCGCATCTGAGAGTAGGGTGTCCCGGGGACCCTTCTCTGTGGGCCCAATGGGAGTATGTATGGATTTTCCTGATACCATTGAAGGGAGCATTCAAGATAGTAAGAGTAATGCTTTTTCTCAGAATGGTTTTTCGGTTAAATCATCAGTTTGCAATGAAACAGACTTGAGAATCCTGACAATTTGTGAACTTGCTCCAAAATACAGTCTCGTTGGGTCCGGGCCCCTGATTTACTTGAATACTCCCCCTTTTCCGGGCATAGCAGCCTCTGGGGGTCCCTAGATGGGCAGGATTTTGTCCTCATCCCCATGACATTAAACAGCCTGCCCCGTCCCAGGCTGGGAAGCCTTTGATCTGACTGAAGCAGTGTCCACTTGAGGACGCCCTGGCAGCCCATCAGCCTGTCTGAGTTTAGCCCCAGCCCCCCACACGCTGGAATTGGGTGTGGGATACTGGATATCACGGTAGGCAGAAGCTTGCTCTCCGGAGGGCGTCCGTCTGCTCCCTCACACCAGCAAAGCAAGTGGCCTCACACAAAGGCATAGCTCAATGTGAATTAAGTCTAAGCTATTAAAAGGGCTTCACACGTTTTTATTTCTTGAATATTGAAAAACAGGAATACATATGCAAATGCAATTTAATCAGCCCTGTTCTGACCTCTCAGCATTCAGCGAGGGCCTGCTTTGTGATCTGAGGCTTCCTTCGGGGGCAGGGGAAGACGAGGGGAGCTAAGCCTGGGAGCGCTGTACCCGTATCCTGCCACATGACCTCCAGCCAGCTCTGTCTTTGGCTGAGAGTGTCTCCAGTGGCTGGAACCGTCTAATTGTTCAACTTTCTTGTCTTTGCCTTTCACGGGCCACTTTATAAATCCTTAATATGCGATTTTGTTCGGGGTAGTTAGACACAGTGTGGTATCAGAAATGATGACGGCTTGCAGTTTGCCTGGCCTAGACTCAGCTCTTCATGCCTTCTGCTTGCAGAAAGGCCATGGGGTGTGTCTTTGAGCATGTACAGTGCGGTGATGGTGCCCCCCTCCCCAGAGCCCAGGGCTCAGCCCCCGTGTAGTGTGGGCGAGGGCAGCCCTGTGGCCTGTGCCTCAGTAGGCCTATGGCCTTAGTGGTGGGGTTTCTCTCTCCAGTTCTCAGGTCCCTTTAGTAGCGCTCATGACAGTGCCGGCCTGGCAGGGCCAGCGCGGAACCCCTGCTAGCGTTCTTCATCCTCATCTTGTCCCCTGGCGTCCTGGAGTGCAAGCTTAGCTGCTGCCTCTCTGGACTGGGCATGAGCTGCACAGCTCCCCTCCTGCCGCTGACAGGTCTGCCTGTGAAGTGATCGCGGAAAGCCGGGGGGCGAAAGTTAGGCCCGGCCATGTGCAGGAGCCCTGTGCGGGGAAGCCAGGCCTCATCTGAGCAATGGGGATGACAACCTGCAGGGAGCCGGCGGGGCACACCAGGGCACACGGAGCCTGGCCATTGTGGTACAAGGCCTGGGCACCACCAGCCTCATGCTTGCTGGGGCTCCGGGAATGTCTGGGGAGCACGGTGTTGAGAGCGAGCCTGGGCGCCCCTCCAGTCACGCCTGAGGGGGTGGAGAACGTCAGGACTGGCCTGTCACTTGTGTGGAGTATCTGTGTCCTGGAGCCGCCAGGTACCACACGCAGAAGGCTGACACCCCTGAGACCTCTGGAATCAGGGCATGGGCAGGGCTGGCTTGTTCTGGAAGCTTTGAGGGAGAAT